TTCTCTATTATCCACTCTTTCACTGGTATTTTTGGGCATCCTATTATTAGATATATTAGTGAATTTTTCTGGCTTCAATCAAATTATTTCTTCGCATTACTCCATGAACAGTATTTTCTTCTGTTAACCATTTGGATTGGGCATCAGCTAGTTCAGCAGCTTTACATATGTTTACACAAAGTGTTAAACTTAGATTTGATTCTCTAAGTAGTCTGTCTCTTATTTTATGGTCAATTATTCCACAAACTATCCTATCTCTTATTAGGCTTTCACGCAGAGTATCAAAATTACAGTTTGCACTCAACTTTTTCAAATCAGTAACAAACATATCAATAAGTTCACCTTCTTCCTGATTTCTTGTATTGAAGATATGTCTGTTCACAGTTTCATTTGACGTAAAATGTTTATCCAGGGCATCAAGAACCTTTTCCTAGTCTTTTTTATCATCTTCTGGTATGTCTAAAGTTCCATAAATCTCGAATACCTCTGATCCAATGGTATGTAACAAGATGTCTACTTTCCTTTCCGCTGACATGAATTCACTCACAGATACTCCCGAAGCATTCATGAACAAAATGAAACGTTGCTTCCATTCTCTGAAATTGTTGCCCATATCCCCTTCTAGAGACAATTCAGGGGGCTGTTTAAGATTATCCATCTTACTGAAACACCAAGAGTTTCAAATCGAAACACAAAAGTTTGACGATACAACAGGTATGGCTCGTGGTTTCAACACTCCCAACGCCTCTTCAATATGCCGGCTTGCAAGTTGAGGGCCAAGAAACAAAAACGACAATTCTGTTTCCGAAACACAAACAGTCTCTCTCAACTTGCAATTATTACTTTTTGCCGCAGCGCCATGTCAGGTTTTTGATTCTCAAGAGATCATAATATAATTATACACCTAATAATTACTTTGTTGCACATTTTATTCATCAGTCTACAGTTACAGTGAATCTCGTCATTCGGCCGACAACTACGTTTTTCCGCGCCAGACAATACAATCATGTCAAGATATGGAACCATCAAAGTCAATATGAATACAGGTGACACAGGACACTTGGAAACAAAACAAAACCACTGAACATAACCATAACAATTACTCATTTACAATGTTGCCAGAATGATACATTCCTGACACATGACATCAAACTCATTTGGTTTCAAAGTTTTTTCTCGTTGACATGAGAGAATTATTCTACAGTAGAGGCAGAGACCTACCTTGAATTTGAAACGTGTGTGGAGTTCGTACCCAGGACAGAGCAGATAGGTCGTATTGGTGAATGAATTGACCTGTGTCTCAGTAAGAGCCAGTATGTCTGACTTTTCAATTCGAAGGTGTCGATGGACATCGTTGATGTTGTTACTCAGACATCGGATGTTACATAAGTCTATCTTAAGGACTTTTTCAGTCGATGGTGAACCCCCTCTAGCACCTCTCACCCGGAAATCCGGATGGAGAGGTATTTTACTTCCGGATAATTTTACTTGAAGAGAACTCATCATCGCTCATTCTGTGTAGAGGAAAAGGAAATTGGGTAGGGTTGGGTTGGCCAGAACATCAACCTGCTACTGAAACACGGGTAAGGATTCCCATTTCACAGTGCCTATGGTTGATGTGTTGGTATCGCACCGAGCGATGGCGTTAACCATCTTTCACCTATTGGCGTCCTCTCAGTTGCCTTTTATGACAGGCAGGACTCACCTTGGGGTTATTCTAATCCGACCACCACACGGACAAATTGTGCCTAATTTCCGAATATGGAGGTTTATCGTACTTGTCCACAGGTAACTAATCCTTCGGGTTGGGAGAGTAGGATATATTGAAGTCAAGCAAGCCAACGTTAGTTTGATTTATTGTACCAGTATATCACCTGACGCAGCTACTGTGTTAGCGAAACATGACGTGTGTTTGAGGATTTTGTGAAGTTTCCACATTTATATTACTGAGGTTAGTATACAGGGTGATTCATTGGGAAATAAGCATAGAGTAAGAGTGGACGGAGGACACCGAGGTGCTTCTGAATAATATATATTCCATGGGTCTATCATTCTTCGTACTTGAGATACAGGGTGATTTATCAATTTTCTAATTGTTTTCAATTAATCGTAACTTATGAACCACCCTATACATTTTTGTGATATTTGGTGAACATGTTCTTTGTCCACAGATGTGACGATTGACATAATAAGATGAAGTGTCATTCCAGGTCCGGCCTTAAAAAAATTAATAAGTAGGTTTCGAGTCGAAACAACATCCTGTATATCAATATTTTGGACTTTCATTCACAAATTTGAAGAGAGCAGGAAAAATTATGTCAGGCTGAATGTATTTTGTGTTTCCGCATACAACTTTTATACCTATTAACTTGAGTCGAATCCAGATGTTTCGATAAGGAGGTGGCACAAAATTGAAAAAAAAAAAAATTGTCGTCCCCAAATGGTACTTTCTCATTTTGAAACCATGAAATCATCAACTATTTCTTACTCTCCTAATTTCTGGATCCCTACCTAACTGGAAAACGAGAGGACAGGTCCGTATTTAGGACAAATTATTATTATCAATGACTATGTATAAACACCTTGTATGTGCAAGAAAATTGTCATAACATTCATTCATTGAATTTGAAACAGCAATTATTATGAAAATAAGGAACAATGCCCATTCCGAAAAGAGTCATAACTTTATTTTCAACAGAAATAACGTTGAACATAACAGAAAATCAAAAAACTAGGATTGTTGTAATTTTCAAGTTGGCTGATGTCAGAGTACAATTTTGACGTTAGTTGATGACTCAAGAGTTTGTACCTGTGTATTTTGTTGTCACGTTATTCGTCAACAAATAGTAATCATTTACTCAAAATGCCACATAAATTTAATAATAATGAATATGCAGACATGTTGTATGTCTATGGATACAGTGATGGTGACGGAAAAGCTGCCCAAAGAGAATATGCACGGCGATATCCTGGCTGGCGGTTACCTAATGACAGATTTCTCTCTAATGTATTCAGTTACCTGGAGAAACACGGTAAATTTCCAACTGAAATACGAAAGACGGCATATCGATTTGGAGCAAGATATTCTCAACCTTGTTCAAAATGATCCAAAAATTAGTACAATAAGAATCAGTCATGCCACTGATGTTCATCATTCTGCTGTTTGGCGAAGATTGAATAAGAATAGTCTGCATCTAGCAAGTTCAGAGGCTACATGCAGGAGATGGAATTGAAAGGTTAGCATTCAGTAGATGGATATTATAAAATGATAGAATAATACACAGGTGTTTATTTAGCGATGAAGCTCAATTCACCAGAGACGGCATCGATAATTCAAGAAATTCCCATGTTTGAGCTGTACAAAATCCGTTCGCTAGTAAACAAACGAATTCCCAAATCATGACAATTTCCCTGCACATACAAGGTGTTTAGACATAGTTAGTCATTGATAATAATAATTTGTCCCAAATACGGAACTGTCCTCTCCTCGTTTTCCAATTAGGTTGGGATCCATAAATTAGGAGAGTAAGAAATAGTTGATGATCTCATGGTTTGAAAATGGAAAAGTACCATTTGGAGACAATTATTTTTTTTTTCAATTTTGTGCCACCTCATTATCGAAACATCTAGATTTGACTCAAGTTAATAGGTATAAAAGTTGTATGCGGAAACACAAAATACTTTGAGCCTGACTTATTTCTTCATGCTCTTTTCAAATTTGTGAATGAAAGAACAAAATATTGATATACTAGGTGTTGTTTCGACTCGAAACCTACTTATTAATTTTTTTAATGCTGGACCTGGAATGAGACTTCATCTTATTATGTCAATCGTCACATCTGTAGACAAAGAACATGTTCACCAAATATCACAAAAATGTAAAGGGTGGTTCATAAGTTATGATTAATTGAAAAAAATCTGAGAATTGATAAATCACCCTGTATCTCAGCTACGAAGAATGATAGACCCATGAAATATATATTATTTAGATGTACCTCGGTGTCCTCCGTCTACCCTTACTTTATGCGCATTTCCCAATGAATCACCCTGTATTAACTCTTCGACTCTTTCTGACTTCTTAACATTGTTTATAATTATCTTTGAGGTACTTCAAATACATCAATTTTGTGTCTGATGATAGCCTGTGGCCGAATATAGTAACACTTCTCATATTGAATAGATTTTCGTGGTCGACAGACCTTGGGACTTCCATTGTTTTTTCTTATAAACATTATAGTTAGTTCTGTAAAAACGGAAATATGGACCTTCTGTCACTATGAGGGTATTCCTCTTTCATTCTGATCAGAATCTTGTGGCCATGATCATGACAGCATATTATGACAAGTAGTTATTGATAAACACCTACTAGATTTGGGTGCCATTTATTTAATAATTAACAAGACGAGAGACAAAGCCACACCTGTTATAATCAACCCGAACTCACTGTTTTGACGTGGGATTCGCACGAATGCATCTCGAATCTAGTAGGTATTCATCAATAACGACTTGTCATATGCTGTCATTCTTGTGGCTACTAGATTTTGATTGAAACTGAAAGGAAGTGCTCTAATAGTGACAAAAGGTCCATATTTCAGTTACACAAAACTAGAAAATATATCGCTTGTGGTGAAAAACATCACATATATACCTTGGTATTAAAGTATATTATTACCACGGGACCTGATACCGCTGTCATCCAGAACGAGAAACGTCCAAATCGGACGAGTAGTTTTGAGGAAACTTTTGGATACTTTCTGGTAATGCGGTAATTTTTGGGAAAAGATTATATGCCCAATGTCAAGAAACAGAGCCGCCTTATTTTATCATCATCATTATTTCTGTTCAAGAAATAATCAAATTGAGATTATGTACAGAAATCGATTCGAACTTAAGTTTCAATTTCTTAATCGAAAGGACAACATATTCAGCGATACAAGTGTTGTTTTTAACCAGACAGAATTCTCCGAAATAGTTATATAAATTTCACCCATTTATTTTACCTCTCCTGAAGCCATCAATAGATTGTATGTATTCAGGTTGTTATCTTCCTTCAGAAAGTAATCTTCTATCTGGAAATAAACCTGGTGTCCTTCAACTCCTGCATATTGCATTGCCTATTGAACAATTGAACGTTATCAGTTAAAAATATTCACAAAATTCTTGAATTAGGATAGTAGGTGAGGATCAGTACTGAATATACTAAAAGAATATATTTGATATATGAATAGGACTATTTTCAATTTGCGTTAATTCAATACAGTATGTTTCGTCTGAACCACACATTAGACGTATGTGGGATTCTGAGAGAAAAATAACGATGATCTGAACATTTTTATGCAGGGTATATCGATTGGGTCCTGTCAAAAATATCTTCAAGATTGTGGCACTTCTGGTTATATCGAAAGTGGATATAAACTTCGATATTTCAAATTGAAAGCAATATCATTTGTTGGAATCTCAAAATCCTCATATCATCTCATTCGTTTTCGGGGAATGCAGACTTTTCCATTCATTTCTTGGTTTGCACCTCATTCCTCTTCGAGAATCGATATCTCTGTCATTTTTAAATATAGGTATATGAGTTATTTTTTGCGATTGGGTTGACATGAGAATTGGTACATTTGTAGGTATTATTGGCGTCACGCCGATGACGAATCGTTGACGGTTTGAAGAATTACAGGAGGCTGAGTCAGTCAAGATACAACTTGCAACTAGAGACTTCTCCATAGATCATTTCATTCAAATATCGTCATTTATTGAATAAATCGGTGGTTACGTGCGAAGTTTGGTGATTGTTTGATGAAATTCAACGTCAAAAGACGGATCGACCTATTGCCAAGTATTATTTGAAGTGAATTGAGTATGAATTCTGAAATGAGGGACATCAGTGGAAATACGAGTTGAACACATAAACAATCTCTGACTCTCCAGGATTCATTGTCGGCGATTGCAGCGGTTTTGGCAAATTTACAGCAAAGCTCATCTGATCATCTAGATTGATATGATAGGAATAATCAATTCTTGCAATGTTCCTCTATATTGTTATATATTGTCAAGAATTTAACGTCCTGAAGTGTTCGTTACCAGCCCATAAAGGATGCCAGGCCCGTAGTGACCGCTGCCGATCGTGGGAGGATCACTCCTCAGAGTCGGATTGCTTGATAGTGCAGCCCTGAGGTAATGTTCAACTCCATCTTAGGCTGCATATGACCATGAGACCGATAGCAAACAAGAATCGGGACGGAAAGTGGAGAAGTACTTTCTTACGATCAATAAATGTCATATGAATTCGTCATTATATCTTGTGGAAAGTAGTCAAATTTAGAGAGAAATACGTTCATGAAATTGGGAAATATAAGAATTGGCTAGAAGTGGTAATTCTGGTTCCTTTGGCGCAGAAGGAAGACGACCTGTGATTCGATGGACTGAGAAAAATGTTCAGATCATGTATGTGACAAACAAATCAGAATAATTCTGAAATGTCTAAAGATATTCCAAGAATTCTACAAGATCTGAATTACGTTTTCTCCAATGCACCCAAATATACTATGATGAAACTGATGATTTGACCAACGAATTGATTACTTCACATGACTCACGTAAACCTATGAACAGCCAAGTAAGTAATGATATGATTCTTTCAAGAAGGGTAAATTAACTTCTACAAGATCTGGAAAATGAAAAATTAATTACATCTCTCACCAAGCAAGTGGCGTTCTCTTCAACAGAGTACAACAATATAACAGAGGCCGATGGAAATCGAATAGAATTGGAAACTCCGATTAATAAAATAGTTGATTTTCCTGTCCAATCAAATACATCAGAAGATATTGAAATGAAATCGAATGCTGATGTAGTGAAGGAAGATATCATGAAATGAGATATTCCTCGCAAGTTGCCTTCTTTGATAATGAAACCGAAGTTCCTGCGAACTCATCAAGAAACCAAAGAAGATGTTCGAAAAAAGTACTGTACTGTACTGAAGGTGTTCTATGGAAGTCAAGGTCTGGGGAAGAGATCAAGAGAACCAAGTGCGTAGTCAAAACTTTCACACTTGAACCCCCAAGAACCGTTCTGATTGGTTCGAATGATTTTACATCTACAACAGAAATATAGAATGAGCTGCGTATCTTTAATTACATTGATGAAAATGATGAATTAACTCTCAAATATTCCCGGCAATCAAAATATTCTAAGAAAATCATTATTTATTCAGGAACTGTTGGTAAGACTTATCGTGAATTGGTAAAGGAATAGATCATTCTGGGATAGCATTAATTCAAAATGAGAGAGGATTTCAGCATAACTTCCTGCTCAAAGTGTAATGCTTATGAGGATAGTGGGACTCTCGTATCGTGTTCAATTTGTGCTGAAAATCATCGAAGTAATCGATGTAATAAAAAACAATCCAAGTTGTATCAATTGCAAATTAGCAATCGAAAAGTCCAAACAACATGGTGATCATGACCACAATTCGAAAAGTAAAGATTTACTAATTTTCAAACACAAGATTATTTCGGATGGGAATCGGATGAAGTATGAATAACATCAATGTAACAAAGTTCACAATTTCAATATAATCCTGAATATAAGGAGTTTAACTAACGAAAAGAGAGAAACTCATAGGACGTTTATAACACTTGTTACATAATATACTATTTAACATCGACATGGTTAAAAATTAATAAAAATGAATATTTTGATATTAATAATTTCCCAAGTATTTATGATTGTGATGATGATGTAGATGATGATGACACGTTTGACCCTTGAACCTCAATGCTGTCAAATATGTAGTTGACAAATTTGAAATTCATGTCCTAGAAATTCTGTGCTGCTTCAATACGAACCCCAGCTATCATCGCTGTGTTTTGCTGTATCTGAGGATTTTAGCTCAGTTGGAGCGTATACTACAGCGTTTAGCTGATTGCAGGTCAGTGAGGTAGTTTCGGTTATTTCGTGTTTATTTTGTGAGGGGAATTCTGTCAGTCTGACCGTGTTAGATATTGCCAAGAATATAACGTATTTTGGAGTGTTCGATATCGTCAGCTGACCTGATGACGATATATAGTTTTGGTTATTCCGTGGTTATCTCGGGAGCGGAATTTCATCACCACCAGCGGCTGACCTGATGACAAATCGTTGACGGTTGAAAAATTTCAATTGATTCAATGAATCGATGACGTTCAGAGTGTGGTGATTGTTCAACGAAATCTTGCAATTTTGAGTTTTATTCTAGTCAATTCAGTACAGATCCGATACCTTAGATTTATATCTGGTAAATATTCCGTTATCATCATCGTTATATCAGAAGGTAATCATCATTCCAATTATGATCCATTGTTTAACTCACCATTTTCAATTCATTATTCAGCTGAGGCTGCTTCTCACTCGATGGAATGATTAATTTCGCTGATTGAAGTGCAGATACAATTTTCACAGCACTCTTCCTTCCCACTCCACATTTCCCAACTAGAATAGCATTTCCTGCTGGGTTACTCACAATGTTCATAATGCTAGCTGTCAAATGTAGCAGCTCGTCTGTTATTATCAAATCCAATGTTTGACCCTCGCGTTCTGGAACATAAAGAAAAATAAAAACAATCTGAGTACAACTCCGAGGAGAACCTAGAATGCAAAGTAACAGTTCGTTTCAGTTGTCTAAAAAAATGTCATTTTCGGAAGATATTTTATTAGCTCAACAACTGCACAGTAACTATAAATAACCTTTAAACATATTAATTTCATATGATTATCTAATGTGTTTTTTTTTCTCGTTATGATATGGAAAACGGCTACATTTCAGTTCAAATTGAGGAAATTGGCTTTACCAATGAATAGTTACAATAATTGTGATTTGTACATTCTCATGCTGGAAGTGACGAAAGACGTTTTTTGTTTCTCAAATTTCAATTTCAATTTATTTTTTCTTCAATTGAAGTACATGTCATGATGTTGTATAAAATCATAAATATAGAAAGAGAATCTTGCATTTAAGCATAGGCAAGAATGCCTGTCTTGCTTTGTGCTCGGTCTCAGGATTTTCATGATGATCGTACATTTTGTGTTGTGTTGGAATATAGTGAGTGATTTATGAATAAAAGAAGAAAATATATTATAACTCTAAGAATTCCGAGTATTGGAATTCGAAAACTAACACAGTAGTAGATGAATAAATAATACAGTGGAGAGCAGATGACATATGTGGTAGGTTGGTACTTATCACCTATCACCTGAAGGTAATTCATTGTCTGTTAATGTTATTTTTTTTTGATCAGTCGGTTAATATTCTTCTGAGTCTGTTGGAAAATTCAGGACCAAAGATAAAGAAAGATCTTTGTGTTGATGTTTTTCTGAAAGATTGGATATTCAGATCCTTATTCGTAGTTGACCTCATAATCCGAATACTTGCTTTGTTGGACTTCACGGTGTATAAACATTCTTTTCGAGCATTGGTAAGCAAATATCAACTTGGTGTTCAATACTTGCGTTTCTTGATATAGCTTGTCGGTAGAAGATCTTTTGTTTCTCTTCAGAATTATTTTTATCAATGTATTTTGTGTTGTTTGCAGGATAATCAGAGTGGCGTTGAAAGTACCACCCCATATTGTGATGCAGTATGACAAAATAGATTCAGCTAAGGAGTTATAGAGCAATTAGAAGATTTTTTTCAAAAATGATTTCTCGCAAGGTATAGACTTTGTAAAATTTATTGTCCCAACACAATATGTATCTGTACTGTCTTGAAAGCAGTACAGTGAAGTCGTAGAACAAGAATCGTACATTTTTGAGTTGTGGAGCAATTATGCACTTGTGGAGTTGAATCGTGTGTAACTCTCTCCACTTCGTGCGTAATATGCGTTTTACTACTCTTGCTATGTGATATGTTTTTATAATCAGATATCACGACCAATTTTCACTCACCGTATTGAGTGATACCTTGTTGAACCATATCTCTCCATTCTGTTTCTGTCAATTTTGTTAAGAAACCATCATCAAACGGTACGTAGAACTTGTTCATTCCCATATCTTGCGTACCCCACTGAGACTGGAATGTATCATTCAATATTCTATTCAAGGTGTTACGATCATCTTCGTCCACTAGACGATTTCCAAAAATGTTCAAAGCTTCGGAATGGATTATCTGGAATAAAGACACGTTCAATAAACACTATACAAAAGTGTTCCTCTCCTTCCAGTCCAGATGGCGCTACCATCATTGAAGGTGAAGAAAGACCACAGAGGTACACCTTGGTGGAGCAAGAACCAAAGTAGGTACTCCCGGAGATGAGACCACCCCCACTCCTCCACCACCACGTGATCTCTAGGCCCCGCCCACTCTAATGACACATGACGTATGACATTTGACACATGACGTATGACATTTGACACATGACATGACGGATGACATTTGACACATGACATGACGGATGACATTTGACACATGACATGACGTATGACATTTGACATATGATGTTTGACATATGACATGACGTATGACATTTGACATGACGTATTACATTTGACACATGACGTATGACATTTGACATATGATGTTTGACATATGACATTACCCACCCACTTCCAGAGCGAACATAAGGAACGCTGTAACATGTACTTACTTCTACCGGTAGATGGCGCAGTGGCTCGACCAGTAGGTGTTCGTATGATGTTTGACATATGACATGACGTATGGTATTTGACACATGAACTTTGACATATGACATGAGGTATGACATTCGACGTATGGTATTTGACACATATGAAGTTTGACGTATGACATTCGACATATGACATGACGTATGGTATTTGACACATAAAGTTTGACATATGAAATGAGATCTGACATTTGACGTATGGTATTTGACACATGACATATGAAGTTTGACGTATGACATTTGACATGACGTATGACATTTGATATTTGAAACATGACACATGATGTTTGACGTTTGACATATGACATTACCCACCCACTTCCAGTGCGAACGTAAGGAACGCTGTAACATGTACCTACTTCCACCGGTAGATGGCGCAGTGGCTTGACCAGTAGGTGTTCGTATGATGTTTGACATATGACATGACGTATGGTATTTGAACTTTGACATATGACATGAGGTATGACATTCGACGTATGGTATTTGACACATATGAAGTTTGACGTATGACATTCGACATATGACATGACGTATGGTATTTGACACATGAAGTTTGACATGAGGTCTGACATTTGGCATGACTAATGACATTTGACGTATGGCATTTGACACATATGAAGTTTGACGTATGACATGACGTATGACAGATGGTGTTTGCAATATGATGTATGTGGGTGGAAGGATACGAAAACAAGGATATATCATGATGAACTATTTTATTTAAGTAATCCTTTTCTACAAAAATTGCATGCCTCTTGAGAAGATGGCGGTCCATCCCGGTGTGTGGTCCAATCGGGACGATTATAATGAACGAAGCAGTTTGATTTGTAGGTTAAAGTTGCTGCGATATTCTTGAGGAAGTTTGTGCCACACCCTTAATAGCCCATAAGGATCTGCTCAATGAGACATTCTACTGGAATGTACTGCTTGTTCAGTGAATTTCGTCAAAGCGGGAGATTTTATAAACTCCAATAGCACAGTTATTTCAGACTTCATGATTTTTCGAGCCAAAATATTTCATATGCTACTAGTTTGACGTCAAGTTGTAGACTAATGGAATAAAAAAACGAGTCACATTTTTCACAACATTTCAATTAAACAGGGTAGGGGTGCTTCAAAAAAAAAAGTCTTGTTGTACCTTATACAGCGAATCGGGTGGCCCATTCATATGTGGAGAACGAAATTTTCGCAGGATGGAAGGGTTTCTTCAGGATTCAGAAAAGTAATTCGTAAAAACACGTAACTTCATTTTTCTGGACTTTCTGCTTAACAAATACTTGAGATAAATTCTCACATCCTGTGTTGAAATACCAATTGAAGTTAAGGATAAACTCTTTTACATATCTGTTCTATAAAAAAAAGTCACTCACCAATTAGCAGAGATTGATCTCTGTGAAAAGAAATTTAAATACTGGGTGTTTCGTGCAACATTGAGATTTTTCAGTTTAATATTTTGCCTGATTCTCAGCTAATAACAGAAATTGAATTTTATTTGAATACATGAGATTTTTCCGTTTAATATTTTGCCTGATTCTCAGCTAATAACAGAAATTGAATTTTATTTGAATACAGGGTGTTCGGTGAAACATTAGGTCTTTCTTTCATATCATGCTAGATTTCTGCTAATGAAAGAAGTTGGGATTTTTCATTCGAAATGTCCATGTAGTTGATATATACAGGGTGCTTTTGGTTATCTAGGTTTGAAAAATATAGTCATTCAGAAAATGTTTTTCGTTTTTAAATTAGTATACTGGATGTTATCAGTTGTCTGGGTTTGACAAATATATAGAGAGTCTATAGAAAAAGTTTTATAAAGTATACATAATGTGGAGATTTTCTCCAAAGATGCATTTATTTTGGAACTTTCTATTTTATGTCTTGATTTTGATCTAAACTGCCTACATATTTAATGGGTGTAATGGGGTCAATAAAAGATGTGGATACCTATCAAATATTTCATTGACAGATGAGATAATCACAAAATGATCATTTTATTTTTTTCTTGAAACAATCTTCACACCATGCTGTGGAAATGTAGGCGCCTATGCCTTTTCTATCAGTGGTGTAGTCTTCGATCACATGACGAACTCCCTCTTTGCGGCAGAAAGAGCAGAAACTAGGTTTGCAGTCACTGCAATTGCATGGTCTACCCCAGTCACAGTTTGGCATTGCTGATTACGTCTGTACTGTTGGAGAGCTGACGAAATACTGAAGAGCTGTCACACTGACATAGGAAAATATAAAGATTGCACTCGTTTCCAGATCACCCAAGAGGTAGAGTGGCTGATCCATTTTGCTTTTTTTTATGTGGAAAACAATCCCCTGTAGGTATATACAAAAACCACACACTCTAAAGATTTGGGGTGAATAATTCATTATAGAACGACAGATTTTGATATTAAATCAGAGCAGTTTTTTTCTATTTCTAGCTGCACGAAGATTCATTCCTAAATAGAAACACTTCATTCGCCAGATAATGCCTCTTTTGTGTTTGTTATTCTTTTTTTTTTTTTGTTTTTAGAACAGGTGACTGTTGATATAAAATCAGAGCAGTTTTGTTCTATTTCTAGCTGCACGAAGATCGATTTCTAAGTCAATAGAAACACTTCTTCAATTTGCCAGATGGTTGGGTCTTTTTTTTTATTGAACTATTCACCTCAGATTTTCAGAGTAGCCGTGAAAACGGCTGATTTTTTGAATTCACTGAAAAGATCCGGTCGTGATAACGATTGCTCGTTATCTCTCTAGTTTTGCGCCGGCTACTTTTTATCGAATTTTGTACAGGATTAGAAAGCTTAAATCGTAATTTGTTCACCTCTGTCTGATGAATAAGAAAGGACGATGATTTGAAAAATTATAATGATTTCCACTTTTTGAAACCGTAAGGTACAGAAGTGTGATCTTCGAGAAATTTCCGCTTCAAGCTTACAGGCTTGTACTTTTTGGAAATATCAACTGTGATGACCTCATGTTCTTTGGTTCGGCGGAACTGTTTGCTCAAAATTTCGATAGGGGCACCAGGGTTCAGAATCATATCTTTGATCGATTCAAAGTTAACAAGCTGTGAAGCAGCATAGTTGAGAGAAATTCCTTTCACTTTGCAAACAACTTTGAACTCTTGTTCCTTGGTTGACCATAGCTTATAGGCATAATTTTTCGGGCCACCAGATACAAACTCTGTGATATGGGAACCAGGGCCGTAACATTCCATTTCGTCGGTCATATCACCAATAAATTGACCAGTAGGAATGTCAAATTCCTCTGGCTTGGAAACATAGATAACAGAGTCCGTGTCATAGTACAACACCCTTTCCCCAAGTTGCTGTAAATAGCTGTAAAGCTTCAGTCGAGCTAAGGCTGTTACATATGCAGCTATCACCACATTGACTGTGGAAAGAGTGTTATAGCTTTCCTCCTTATACTCCCAATTAACAACGATGGTATCCTCGTTTATTGGGAGTACTGTATTGACAATAAGGGAAGGATCCGTCATCATTGAAAAGAATTCCGAGGGCTGATTGATTATAGAGGTTTTCGGCTGGTTTTCACGCTGACCAAACTTACCCCAGAAGGAATTTAGCATAAGCTTGGCCAGTGCTCTCAAACCGGGGTTATCAGTTATTTTAGAATATTCCAACAAAACATCCTCCCGTTGTAGAAAATCTTCAATGTACCTATCTCTCTCCTCTTTGGTCTTACAATTTTTAGGCCAATCTGATGATTCCTGTTTAATCTTGATGAATTTGTTCATCATATCGGTGAATAGGCCTGATACATTTTCACCAAATTGTACAGTATCGTAAGACCAAATCTCTTTGATCTCGATAATTCGATACCCCACCTCAAGGGCTTTCAATATTTCGGCAATAGTCCATGTACCTGTTAATGTTCGCTCTTCATCAGTGTGATGACAACTACTATTATTATAATTTTCACCACATGCACGACAAAGAACAAACATCAACTTGTTGTTTATTTTCTGTGGTAAAACAGGATGAAAAAGATCTTGAGGTGGAAGAATCGCACATTTAACGAGACCTGAGATAGAGGAAAGAGGAGCAGTAGATGCCTCCTCGCCAACAAGTACTTTCGGATGACCCACAGGAAATTTGCCATATTTACACACCCATGGGTAGAGCGAACAAACGTCAACGTATTTAATTTGTTCGCCAGCCCCGGCCTTGTAATATTCGACAATGTTTCCCGTTCGGCCACCATAGAAAGCATCTCGAGGGTCAAGGGGTAGATTTTTAAGCAGGGGATGATCGTTGACAAAGTTGCAAAGTTCGTCACTGCTGGAAAGTTCCCTGCGAAAATCACACTCCCATTTTTCAATAACCTCATACCCTAAGGATTTGATTTTATTGATTTTGGCAATGGTTGTGTCATGACGATGATTCATAGTTTCGGAAGGACAGTTTCTGAGAGGGATATCTCTCTGATCAGTATAGCAGCGGGGACAACCATGATAGAAACAGCCTTGAAA